CAACCTACACCATTCAAACAGGAAGACAATGTTTTCTGACATATGAGGATTTTTTCTAGCATCATATAGGGCTCAACTTGCTACTGCACCAGTTTCGACCCATATTCTACAAGGAACTGTCTGCCTATACCCCGTTATTCTTTGGAACTCAGAACACCGCTCCTTTGTATGGAGCTTTCGAACACATGTTCGGCAAGACAGCACAGTGTTTCTGTTGCTGCGCAAGGTTGAGTCACATATCACGTGTCAAGATTTCCCTGTTTGAAAACAAGACCGAGATGCTGGGACAGACTGACCTCAAGGGAACCGTGCAGTGCATATACTCTAGTATTTCGATGACTACGTGTGAAGTCTTGAAACAATCTTCTTCGCACCTCATTTGTCGTCGCTTGATACAAGATGGACAGGATTTCGTACAGCTCCAAGGGATAGAATCCATTGCTTCATCGCCACTTCTACACATCGACATACCGCCGATCAACCAGGTAGGACAAGTCATCCCTCACCTATTCAAGACGGAGTTGGCGAATATAGACGTTTGATTCAGCATATACTCCTAATGTTCTCTACGTCCCTTCAAGGCACAGTCTCTGGTACTGTCGCAATTCCACGAGGTGCCGATCACGCGGCTTCGTGCGACCATTCATCCAGAGAAATATATAATCAGTCAACTAACTTGGACAAGCGCATGGTTTCACCACGTCCTGTCTCCTTTCTTCAGGTTTCGCCGGGTTTATCCACCATGGCTACTATTGGCTCTTCCGTACAATTTCGACATCCTCTACTGGTCAGCCTGATTGATCGCGGTCATTTGAATCTGACTCGACACTATCGACACTCGTCTCGAAGCTATGGATGTCCGACGCCGCTTCAGTTGTTTGGTATATCAACAGGATCGTCAGACGGCAGAACTCTGGTTGGCAATAGAACTGACCCTCCACACCAACAATCCTGAATTCAAGGTCTTTCTAGCGATCTCTCATTGGGTGGAAGTTCTTTGATACAGTCCGACAACACCTCAGTCGTTTGGTACATCAACAAGATGGGATCCACCAAGTCAGCCTCCCTGTTGGCCCTGATGATGGACTTCTTTCTGCTGATCGATGCATTGGGCGTCAACTCCCGAGCTTGACACTTTCTGGGAGTATGCAACGTCATAGCAGACTCCCTGTCCAGTCTGGATCGACCATCCTCGACAGAATGGCCTCCTCATCCGAAGATCTTCAAGGAGACTTGCCACCTCTTCCAACACCCGAGATCGACTTATTAGCCACCAGGTGCAAAACACAACTCTCCAGATTTGTCTCTTCTCTCAATTCCGGATCAAGAGGCATGGGAGTAAGACGCTCTGGCCATATCATGGGAGAATCTCAACACTTACGCTTTTCCACCAACAGCGCTTCTACCACGAGTAATGTCCTATGCAAAAACACACAGGCGCTTGTTATACCCGATTACATTACTCTGTGTCCTGGTAGTGTAGTGGGGTTTTCAAGATCACTCAACAGCAGTGATTCACCCATAAAATCACAAGAAAATATCTCCAGACATGGATATGTAACAGTCCTAGGATTGAAGTATGTTGGCTCCAGCTTTCTTGTGTACCGATACATCTCAGGTTACAAGACGAATACAGACTAGGGTAATCTTTGACCCACTGTCCAACCGTGGGATAAATGCATAGGATAGCTATAATATATAAGTTTAAAAATTTGTAAATTTTACAATAAATTGTATATTTATAATATTTATCCTATCTCACACGATCTATGCCCTCCCATATAGACAAATACCGTTCTGAATATTTGGCACTAACTGCCTGTGCCCCTATAAATGAATTTATTATACACGCGACCTAAAAGGTTAGGGGTATATAGTTATACCAAGGTTCCATCCGTCTGTCCGTCCGTCCGTCTGAAAACGTTGTCCACGCGATTTCTCTTAAACTATTCAGTGGATTCATCTCAAACTCTGTACATATAATCTGTGTCATATGTAGGGGTGCAGTCTAAAGAAAAAAAATGTTTTTATTAATTTTCCATTTTTAAATGAATTTTTCAAACCCTAACGTCTGTCCAATAACTTTGTCTGCTTGATTTCTCTTAAACTATCCAGTGGATTCATCTCAAACTTAGAACATATAATCTGTGTCATATTGAGGGGTGCAGTCAAAAGAAAAAAAATGTTTTTATTAATTTTCCATTTTTTTATGAATTTTTCAAACCTTAACCCTATCCTAGCTATTAAATTTGAAACTACTGACACACTAGGAGGGTCGGGGGTATTAGTGAGCCACGCTCACTTTTGCTCTTGTTATTTTTAATATTATACAATTAATGTTCCATCAAGGTTAATTGACAAGTCCACCCACCCCTAGCCATACTCTTGATATACATAGAATCCATACCGGTATTATATATATACAACACAGATCTCCCCACAACTAATGAAACAATAAGTCTGTACCCAGCAGATGGTAATAACAATCAGCTTGCATGCCTAGCCAGCTGTGGCTGTTTAAGCCACACCACCTCATCAGCGCTTTTAATATTTGATACAGACCTCAAAATAGGTATAGAATATTGCTAAGTTTACATTTTCAGAATTTATTTTCTCACCGATCATATTGTATATCATACTGCCTACATAATGAATAAAGGAAAATCTATTACTATTTTTCATGATATTTGCATTTTAAGTGCTGGATTACAGATAGGCATTTTCTATAAAAATTGATAATTGGGATTGACAAACAGTGCTGGAATCTGGAATAGACAAAGGCTAGGTTATACAGAGATCTATTGATGACATTATCATTATTTACAGAGTGCCGAACGAGACAAAGTTGCTGATGTGGTGAATTCCCGGTTGTCTTAAACTCACCTTCCAGTCCCTGTGAATTCCTCCTATTTTTAACAAAATATATATATTTGGATATGTTGAATTGGATGTGTCCAATTCCTGGTTGTCATTTAGGAGTCCAAAGTATCCAGATCAAGCGTGAAGTTCCCACTCGAACATCCATGCACATGTACTCACTTGCAACTCTCTTTACCCACAACTCACTGATGTCACTCTCGATTGCCACAATTACAGCAAAGGCAATGAGTCAGTATCCAATCTAGCCTAAATAACAAGCACACGTTACATCAATGGTTCAAGCTGATTACTGTATACACATCAGCAACGTTTATGAAGTGTTCTCACGTGTTTGCCATTGTCATGTGGAAATTGAGAAATGAGTAAAATGGATAAAGATTATGTTAGTAATTCTATTATTTGAGAGTAATGATTCGCCTCAGTTTTCACCTTTTATCTATCATCAGCCTCGGCACTGAAATTTACATATGCCTTGAAATCAAGAGTTGCGCCTGGACCTGATTATAAACTCTCAAAACATGATGAAAAGTCAGCTTGTTGGTTGTCTCACTCAAACTTTTATCCATCTTGACTTCTGAATGTCAGCATCCCCAATTGTCATCTCACTGACACTGTTTTGAACTGGCCACTACTCCCAAAAAGTACAGCTTTGGTTTTTGCTCCTCATTCAAGTTCAGCGTCTGTGCTGTCACCACTGTTGTCATCAATAGCTTTTAGTGTTGGTTTTTAGTTTTCATTAATAACAATGTGGACACCATGTGTCTTTGTTGACATTTTCGACTTGTTCTTTCATAGCCATTCCAGTGGAAATTACAGTGGCAGTGGCCATAACTTTCTTCACTGATCTTAAAGACTTCAATTTCTTTGGTGCCAGAGAAATAGAATGGTGCCATTCCATGGATTCACGTTTTGACTTGGGATCAAAGTGGTAGACCCATGTTTCATCACCCGTTATTAATATCTTTTTGAATTTAACTAAATCCTCCTCAGATTATCTCCAAATTTTCTCTGGCAATGTCAATTCTTTTTTCCCTAAGATCAGAATTTAGAAACATTGGAACCCAACGAGTAGATATCTTATTCATCTGTAAATGTTCATGAATAATAGTTTCAATGGGTCCACCGCTGAGACCTGTCTTCCTCAAGTTCAGCAATGGTAATACGTCTATCTGACAAAATAATTTTTTTCCATCTCCTTCATTGAATTTTCATTTATGGAAGTTGAGGGATTTCCAGACCTAGGGTCATCATCAAGGCTTGTTCTCCCAGTCTTAAACACAGCTGCCCAACATTTAACAGTGGAAGAGCTAGGGCACATATCATACACTTGTGACATGTGGTCATGAATTTCTTGGGGAGCACATTTCTCTAAAGTCAAAAACTTGATGACTGCTTGGTACTCATTCTTTTCCATTTCTGTATCCATTTGGACCCCTATCACGTTCAACTGGCTGTCACTAATACACAAACGGCCTCAACAGACCAAGTACACTTGCAATGAACAACTCAAACTATGTACTACATTGACCAGTTCACTTTGTTATGGCCCATAGTTGAAAGTTTGTCAGACTTATTGACCAGCCCTTGAATATTTCACATTGCTTTGTGATTACCTTTAAAATGATGGTCCAACTTTATCATGTTGACAATTTACAGTTTGAGATTACATGTATGAAAAGAAATTTTGTAAAAATTCTATATGATAGCATCCTATTGTCAGTATTCAAAACAAGAAATCCTTGCTATTTTGTCGTGATATAATTACAATGACATGTTCTGAAGGTATAAAGTTGAAAATGGTAATTTTTTTCTTCTTCTATTCATATCCGTAAATTAATATTTTGGCACCTGATATGAAATGCAATACATTTGTGGAAATGCCAATATTATGAACTTTGTCACAATAATAATCTCTCATATCCTTCTTTGCATATTGCTTACAGTAGGCTAAAAAGAACTTGTTTAATCAAAGAAATTCAAGCCAGAATTATACTGAACTTACTTTAAACTGTATGTTATTTAGTAAAGGACACAAATAGTTTATACTTTAAATGAAAGTCAAATTTCTTCGAGGCTTCTTTACTGACTTCTAATGAAAAAAACACTTGTTATTGTACTAGATGAAGCCAGGAAGAAACCAGTGTCTGTTCATGATCTCCCTGCCAAGGATAGCCATGGCCGTACTAGGTTTCACGGAGCTTTCACAGGTGGCTTCTCTGCAGGCTTCTTCAACACAGTGGGCTCAAAGGAAGGTGAGTTCAGATCATGCTTCACTGCAGATTTCTTCAATGCAGTGAGCCCAAAGTAAGGTGAGTTCAGATATGCTTCACTGCAGGCTTCTTCAAGACAGTGAGCCTAAAGGAAGGTGAGTTCATATCATGCTTCTCTGCAGGCTTCTTCAAGACAGTGAGCTCAAAGGAAGGTGAGTTGAGATCATGCTTCTCTGTAGATGTCTTCAAGACAGTGAGCCTAAAGGAATGTGAGTTGAGATCATGCTTCTCTGTAGATGTCTTCAAGACAGTGAGCCTAAAGGAAGGTGAGGTCAGATATGCTTCACTGCAGGCTTCTTCAAGACAGTGAGCCTAAAGTAAGGTGAGTTCATATCATGCTTCTCTGCAGAGTTCTTCAAGACAGTGAGCCTAAAGTAAGGTGAGTTCAGATGATGCTTCTCTGCAGGGTTCTTCAAGACAGTGAGCCTAAAGGAAGGTGAGTTCAGATGATGCTTTACTGCAGGGTTCTTCAAGACAGTGGGCCCAAAGTAAGGTGAGTTCATATCATGCTTCAGTGCAGGCTTCTTCACGACAGTGGGCCTAAAGGAATGTGAGTTGAGATCATGCTTCTCTGTAGATGTCTTCAAGACAGTGAGCCTAAAGGAAGGTGAGGTCAGATATGCTTCTCTGCAGGCTTCTTCAAGACAGTGAGCCTAAAGTAAGGTGAGTTCATATCATGCTTCTCTGCAGGTTTCTTCAAGACAGTAAGCCCAAAGTAAGGTGAGTTCAGATCATGCTTAACTGCAAGCATCGTCAAGACAGTGAGCCTTAAGTAAGGTGAGTTCAGATCATGCTTTACTGCAGGGTTCTTTAAGACAGTGGGCCCAAAGTAAGGTGAGTTCATATCGTGCTTCTCTGCAGGCTTCTTCAAGACAGTGAGCCCAAAGTAAGGTGAGTTCATATCATGCTTCACTGCAGAGGTCTTCAAGACAGTGAGCCTAAAGAAAGGTGAGTTCAGATCATGCTTCTCTGAAGGCTTCTTCAAGACAGTGAGCCTAAAGGAAGGTGAGGTCAGATATGCTTATCTGCAGGTTTCTTCAATGCAGTGAGCCCAAATTAGGTGAGTTCAGATCAAGCTTCTCTGCAGGGTTCTTCAAGACAGTTGGCCTAAAGGAAGGTGAGTTCAGTTGATGCTTCTCTGCAGTCTTCTTCAAGACATTGGGCTCAAAGGACTGTTTTTTCAAATCATCTCCATCAAAACTCTAGTTTCATGCCTAGTATGCCGTAGATTATTTTTTATCCTGACACAACACATCCTTCTAGTGTGCCTCTCCCTCCTTTGGGTAGTCCCCAGCCCTCGGTTACCAACAGGAGTTATGTGTCCCTGATCCCTTCTCTGTCCTATGGGGGATTTGTCCATACTTATTCATGTTTTATATGCTGCAGAGCATGGCAGAGATGTCTTTCACCATTCGGGAGGATGGGCGAGTATAGACAACCGTGTGTGCACAACTACTGTGCTTTACACGTCACGGGAAATCTTGCAGTGATCCACATGTGTATGACTTCGTTTCTAGGTGTACTGAATGAAGCACGTTATCCAAAAAGCTGGTTGAGGAAAAGAAAAAGAGAGACCACAACAACTCTGTCGACTTGGTCATTGACTGCTGTGATTACCTGTCCGTTTCAGACATCCCCATGCTCTAGGCCAACAAGCGATCTGGTGTCACCCATCGTTATTTATCGTGTGTTGGTGACGGTCATTGCGACGACTGAGGAGCTGACTGTAACTTGCACACCGCCTCGTCAGGAGGTTGGACAAGGCACTGGAAGATGCTTCAGCCCCGGCACCTTTGGGTACATAATGCTTTGTTTGGACGCCAGCTGCGTCGGTGCAGGATACTCCTTCAAAGCATCTGCACCAACGACAGCTTCAACACCAGTGCGGTTCTCGAGAGATTACCCAGGTGAGCAGACAGGCTTGCGTATCAACAGCCTCAAGATTTTTGCTGTGATCCTGACCGTAAAACAGAGGAGACAACGTGTTGACTTTGCCCAACGTCAATCTTTTCTCAACACGATACAACCATCAGTTCTTCATGTCGCGTCTTCCCGATCCACTGGCTTGGGATCACAATCCTCTCGCCATCTCCTGGGTAAACCTTCATGCGTACATGTTCCCAACACCAGCAGCACTCCTGCAGACATTGAGGGAAACCAAGCAGATCTATCTGCTTTTGCTAGTGCCTTATTGGCCCAGGAGATTGTGCTCCCAGAGCTTACAAAGGCCGCAGGGTTTTGTGGCTAAAAATTAGCAGTTAGGGGAGAATAATCGGCGGTTCATTATATTTCCCTTATCGTCCGACAGCTCTGAGCATGTGTCCTCTTGATGTGTCCTGCATGAGCGCTCAGCATTATTTGGAAGTGATGAAGAGTTCCAGGAAGCAGGGGAAGAGATAGTTCTTACTTCTGTCGACCAGAAGTAGAGCGGAGGTGACGAAGAATATCATGGCGTTTTTGGCTTCATGCTACAATTCTGCAGGCGTATCAGCATGCAGGATTGGACCCACCTCAGGTGCACATTCCCCATGAAATCAGAGCCCTGGCATCCACAGTTTCACTGCATTCCAACTGTATGGTGAAGGATGTCATCAAGGGATGTTTTTGGTACACTGACACTTCCTTCGCCAACTACTATCTGAGGGACCTCTGTGTCAGAGACGTAGAGGGGGTTCATCAGTTCGGGACACTTGTCCCGGCGCAGCAGTTATCTGTCCTATGATTGATTGATGCCGTATATTCACAGACTATTCATGAATGAATATTGTTTGACAATATCTTATGGTGTTCCTCTGTTTCTGTTCACTTCACGAATAATGTCGGATCCTGCTGTGCATTGTAGACTCCTCATCACTACTGATGCACTGATGAGAAGACATAGAAGGGATCAGGGACAGATAACTCATGTTGGTAACCAAGGGCAGAGGAGGAAGAGCCACATTTTTGGTTTGGTTTTATGGGAGGGAAGTCCAGAAGGAAATTGCAATGTGTTGTGTCAGGATAAGTATATTATCATGTAGATTTCAACATAAATCTCTTGTTTGCCAGTTATTTTTCACTTAACTGCATTTTTGATCTTCAGGAAAGCTTCAGTAAGAGCTGGTTGTGATAAAAACCTTTGACTATATTTTATTTTACTTTCTTACAATTTGAATGTGTTCCTGCCAGGTTTCCGTCCATCCAGCTTTTTGTCGTCAAGGTCCTCGAAGGGGGAATCAGTGGCTCAGAGGCCAGAGGACTTCATGGATGATGAGGTCAGTAAAAATAACACACTGATGGCATATGTACCAGTATACAGGATGAATGAAGCTTTTCTTAGTATATTGGACTTATGATTGCTAAAATTGATTTGATTTTGTTTGTTGTCATTCTCTTTGATGGCTTACTAAATAAACTATACATATTGATATTCTGAGAAAAATAAAACACATATTCCTACTGCATTCAGGACTTTTGTGAACATGGCATCGCTCCGAGGAAGTTGGCAACAAGCTCCACTTACACATCAGAGGAACGAGGACGGAAGAGGAAGGTGATGACAGCTGCTGCTGTCGCTGGTTCCTCCCTCATCCCGGGAGTGGCAGATGCACTCACTGACCTCATCATACCAGATAGGTGACTAGTTTCTGTGTATCATCTTGATCCATAGTATGAGACAGGTGACTGTAGTTTCTGTGTATCAGCTTGATCCACAGTATGAGACAGGTGACTGTAATTTCTGTGTATCATCCCCGTGGGGACCCGGGGAAGATAAACAAGAATGTGTCCTCAGTACCCAAATGCTGGTAGTAAAAGGTGACCGAATTGGGCAGCCTGTTTGCCGTGGGCTGCGACCCTGTGTCGGCAGAGGAAGGGATTCTTGTGGTTGAGGGCGACGGAGCCGGCAAATAGTGCTCCTTAGTCCAACACACCACTTCGACCCTAGCTTTGCCTAGACGGGCGGTAGAATGGGCCCGATTCTATCAATAGGCTGGTCACGTCATGCCCTGTGCATAAAATATTTCATGCACACTTTTGATGCTAAAAAAAATTAATGTAACCTAAATGTATATCATATCTAACAATCTATAAAACTTGCTTAGAGCCCTATGCCCAGAAGGCGGTGGCTCATGGGCCAATCTGGTGATGCTGACCTCCGAATTCTGTACTTCTCCAATTGATTGTCATGGGCCGAACCAGCCTGACCTTTAATTTGGTAGAATTCTATAGCTCTTCGTGTCAAATTTGCTGGAGTATACCACCCCTTTATCCCCAGTCTTTGCAGCTTGGAAATCCGCTGCAGCATAAGACTGTCCTTGTAGACATTCCATGGTGGGTGGGGAAAAGGGGTGCCGAATCATTTTCCTTTCGACATGGCTTCCCAACACCCTGGTTCAAAACGTAGATACATAGAATCTGACAATTCACCTGACAAAAATACCACCAACCGATCTGACTATTGGCCACGTTTTTTGATTATCGAAGCTTGTGACAAAGAACCAATAAAACTAAATCCGTTTGCAATCTCCAAAGGTATCGCTGGTGCCTGCGGAAAGGTTACAAATGTCACCAAGCTTCGATCCGGTTCTCTCCTTGTGGAATGTGCACAGAGACAGCAATCCATCAATCTTCTCGGTTTGAAAGAGTTTGTAAATATCAAGGTTGCTGTCTCTGAACACAGGACACTGAACTCATGCAAGGGAATTGTCCGTGACAGGGCTCCCTGCCTGTCCGGCATGACCGAGGATGAAATAGTCAAAGAACTTGTCCAACAGTCTGTCACAGCTGTTAAACGATTCACGGTCAAAAAGGATGGTGTGGTTGTAGATACCAACACCTATCTCTTCACTTTCGCCCGTTCGAAGATTCCACAATCGATCAAAGCTGGTTATTGTAACATCGGAGTGGAGGTGTATATCCCCAATCCACTCCGGTGCTACCCCTGCCAAGCGTTTGGACATGGATCCAAGTCCTGCCGTGCCTCTGCTGTCTGTTACCGCTGCGGTGACAAACATGAGGCCACTGACTGCAGGAAGGATGTGAAGTGTTCGAACTGTGGTGGGAGCATCTTCCAAATCCTGCCCTGTCTGGCAACATGAATTACAGATCATGAAAATCAAGACTGAGCAAAACCTCTCCTACTATGAAGCTAAGAAGAGGGTTGCAGGTTCTACTGCCACCACTTCTTCTATCTCTTACTCTGCTGCTGTCTCTCGTCCTCCTGTCACCACTGCCTCTATCGACTGCCAGACTGATCTGACATGGGTCAAGTCTGTGCAGCCACTTCCTACTGCTTCACTCGTTAAACCAGCTGTGACACCTACGTCTGTGACTCCTAAACAAAAAACTGTAAAAAATGTTGAGTCTCAGACTCCTAAAGCAACATCAGAATCAGAACCAGAACCAGTTAAACTGTCAAACAGGGAAAAGAAATTATTGAAAAAGAAGCAGCTGAGAGAACAGCTGCAAACACCAAAGGCCACCTCTCCTTTAGAGGTCCCAGTAGAGGTCCATAACTCCTTTGGTCCTCTGGACATGGAGGTAACTCCATCTCCTCATGGTACCGATAGGAGTACCACAAAGTCTTCCTCACGTTCGCGTGACATTTCTCCCGTGGAAGCACCACCTTGAATCCACAAAATATAATACAATGGAATTGCAGAGGTCTTAAGAAGAATTTTAATGAAATACAACTTTTAATTCAAGATTTTAAACCGTCAGCTTTTTGTCTCCAAGAAACATATCTAAAAAACACAGATCTATTTGATATCCGTCAGTACAGTTCTTACCACTCGTTTTCCCCTCCTGGTGATAAAGCTACAGGAGGTGCCTCTATCCTGGTGAAGCAGGGCACTATCCATAGCCCTGTTCCACTCAATACTACGCTACAAGCCGTTGCTGTCCGTGTTACTTTAAACATAGTGTTTACATTATGTTCATTGTATCTTCCACCTTCCTCAACTATCCGTCAATCAGATCTTCAGACTTTGTACGATCAGCTCCCGAAGCCCTGTATCATCATGGGCGATTTAAACGGTCATAATCCCCTATGGGGGAGTACTGACATAAATAAAAAGGGAAAAGTCCTTGAAGATTTTATCTCAAACAATGATTTATGTATCTTCAATGATGGTAATACAATGTACCACATATCTTCATCCCGCCACTGGCACATACTCTGCCCTTGACCTTTTACTGACAGATTCAAATATTTTAAATGAATTCGAATGGTCGGTCCATGATGACCTTTGTGGAAGTGACCATTTTCCAACAATACTTAAAACTATAAATCCGTCTGACGAACCACCTTCAACAAGGTGGAACTTTACAAAGGCCGATTGGTCTTTATTCCAAACACTATGTTCTGAAAAACTAAAACCTGAAAGTTTCAGGAATGTTCCTGATCCTATACAACTTTTTTCAGATAAATTAAATGATATTGGAGACGAAAGCATTCCTAAGTCCTCTGCAAACCCCCATATACGTAAACCATGGTTCGATAACACTTGTAAACAAGCTAGGAAAAATAGGAAGAAAGCTGAAAAATATTTCCGACTACATCCTACCGTCCACAATTTGAATAACGTTAAAATCACGGGCGCTAAAGCGAGACGTACCTTTAAACAGAATAAACGTCAATCATGGAGGAACTATGTTTCAAAAATTAATTCCCGAACACCTATGTCCAAGGTGTGGAACATGATTCAAAAGATTAAGGGAAAAGGGTCAAAATCTGGAGTTCACCATCTCAAAGATGGTAATACACTTTTAACAACTAAATCTGAAATAGGCAACAAACTTGGTGACACTTTGGCAAATCATTCCTCATCATCAAACTATAATCCTCAATTCCAGAGGTTTCAAAAACAGCAGGAAAAGAAAACAGTAAATTTTAACTCTGATAATGGTGAGGACTATAATGAAACATTTTCACTCCATGAATTATATACTGCCCTAGGGCAATCTCATGACACTGCTGCAGGAGCCGACAACATCCACTATCAGCTCCTGAAACACTTGTCCGATTCATGTTTGGAAACTTTACTTAATATATTTGATGAAATATGGACAACCGGAAATTTCCCTCCTTCGTGGCACAATGCTATTATTATTCCTATTCCAAAGCCTGGACGGGATCACACAGATCCATCCAACTACCATCCAATATCATTAACTAGCTGTGTTTGCAAAACCATGGAAGGAATGGTCAACAATCGATTAGTCTGGTACCTGGAGACCAATAACCTCCTGAGTGACATCCAGTGTGGTTTCCGAAAAAACAGAAGTACCATTGACCATTTGGTGCGTTTAGAATCGTTTATTAAAAATTCCATTGTCAACAAACAACATACTGTATCAATCTTTTTCGATCTAGAGAAAGCATTTGATACAACGTGGAAACATGGTGTTTTAAAAGATTTGCATGAATTTGGATTGAGGGGCAGATTACCTCAGTTCATGTCTCAATTTTTAAACAACAGACAATTTCAAGTACGAGTGGGCTCTACCCTGTCTGATCAATTTGATCAAGACCAGGGCGTCCCTCAAGGCAGCATTCTGTCAGTCACCCTTTTAAGCATCAAAATTAATAGTCTCACTAAAGTATTAAACAATAGCGTTGATGGTTCACATTTTGTGGACGATTTCAATATTTCTTGTCGTGGTAAGAATATGAATACAATAGAAAGACAGCTACAGCTCTGTCTTAACAAAATTCAGAAATGGGCCAACGAAAACGGCTTCAAATTTTCTAAATCCAAAACAAACTGTATTCACTTTTGTCGTAAATACAAACCTCACAAGGATCCAGATTTATTTCTAGATGGTACTCCTAATAAGGTAGTAGAGGAGGCCAAATTCCTGGGCCTCATATTTGACCGTCATCTCACATTCTTACCACACATTTAATATCTCAAGGCAAAGTGCCTGAAGGCTCTCGACTTGTTAAAAGTCGTTTCAAATTCCGAGTGGGGAGGGGATCAGACCACCCTCCTTCACTTGTACAGATCGTTAATACGCTCCAAACTGGACTATGGTTCCATTGTCTATGGTGGAGCCTGCAAAAGCAATTTAGAAAAATTGGACACTGTACACCATCAAGGCCTAAGACTCTGTCTTGGAGCTTTTAGGACCTCTCCTGTGGACAGTTTGTATGTGGAGGCCGATGAACCTTCACTCGAACTGCGCCGCATTAAACTTTCACTGCAATATATCACTAAATTGCACTCAAATAAATCTAATCCAGCATACAATTGTGTGTTCCACCCTCAATATGAAAACCTGTTTCAAAATCTATCAAACCTGGTTCCACCACTTGGAATCAGAATTCAACCACACATCACTACAGCTAAATTGGATTTAAATATTATTTCACCTCACCGTCTTCTGTCTTCTCCTCCCTGGCAGATGGTGAAGCCAGAAGTAGACCTCACTCTAACCAATCTAAAAAAGTCGGATACCAATCCTTTGGTATATCAACAATCATATAACCAATTACGCTCCAAATATAATTCTCACAGGTCCATTTTAACAGACGGGTCCAAGGATGGTGGCAAAGTTGCAAGTGCCACCGTCATTGGATCCAGAACTGTCTCCTCAAGAATACCAGATACTAGTTCAATTTTTACTGCTGAGGC